ATTTTGATGGTGAAGGAAGGACCCGCCGCTGTGGAAGTTGCATATCTTTACGTGAAGTACCGCAGTTGGCAGTGCCTGCATGCAGAGAGAGAGAGAGAGCGAGATAATGATGCGGTCCAGGGATTTTAAACCTCCCACATCGTTGACAAGTTTATGTAGATCATTACAGTGTTGCCAAGTTTGCGTTTTAAGTCATCGCTCCCCAAGTGTAGTGGGTATTTCTCACCGACCTGAGGCAGTCACGTGTTTGTACCAGATGCTTCGATTGGTTCATGATTCATGAGAATAGTAATTGGTGCGTAGTACAAATCATGAACATCCCCGTTACTTGATTTCATCCTCGTCACTCCCCCCTTTAGGGTGAGAGACGAAGTTTCTTGTCTGTGCAGTGCAGAAGAAACGACTTTGCCTACGAATCTGACAGAAACTTCGTGCGTTTGCGAAAGAATTGTCGATGGCTTTTCAGATCTGGATGCTGTAGGTCTGTGATCTCTAGTTTAATGCGACGCGTACGTGATGGACCTGAGTTTAGACGCCAGAGGCCACGCTTATGTTTCCCAGTAACGATGCTGTAGCCTCCAGGTGTATAACATCGGGCAATTTGCGCTTATCGATGATTAGTCTTACCTGAGGTAGCGAATAAGAGCGAGTGCTAAGTACCAGGAGCTCAACCTCCACTTTCCGCTCAGAAGTGGTGGTCGGTCTGCACGTTCAAAGAATCTTCCCCTTCTAAGGAAGTGTCGCGTGATTTGGGTTTGAGCCCCCGCACAAATGATTTTACGTGCGACCTGAGGCGGGTAAATTATTGTACGTTGAGGTCACCAAGCGCTGTTTGATGTCGCACTGTTTCTCCTAAGTGTTCGTATATAGATGATGCCAAGTTTAACGTTTGCCGTTCAAACCGGACACAGACCTTGTGCTGTTTGTAAGACAGTTCATGATTGCCACTTCATTGAAAGGCCAATAGCGGCAGTGGAGGTTGGATAGGGAACATCTTTGCTGACACGTTTTGTTCCAGAGATCTCTCCTCGCATTTCCCGTGTTCTCTGCAAACCTCAGTCGCCCTCTTCATCCACTTTTATTCCTCGTCAGAGTTTCCTTTTTGTTTGGCTTCGTGAACCCCCCTCCCCCACACCTCCAAAGGTGGATGTCCGTCGCTTAACATCTCCGTAGCAAAGGACTCTCGGATGACACCGGCTCAGAGGAAGCCAAACTCTCGGGGCCCTCTTTCTCACTGGCTTTAAATAATAATAGCCCTAATAAAACCACAACAATACGTAGTGTCTTGACTTCTCTTGGAGTCATGGCCACACTCAGCCCCCAGGGATGTTTCACATCTCGACGAAGAGAGAGAGAGAGAGAGAGAAACAAGTTTGGCTCCTCCGTCTTCCTCCGTAGCTTCACGAGGGGTACTCAACGTTGCGTACCACGTTTCAAGGAATCGGATATTTGTTTCGCTTTACGTACGTAAACGTACTGGGTACGGATTTTATAGCGGAGAGTCGTTTGTCGGTCAGTCTTATTTACGAGCTGGTAGTGCGCGTCTTTTATGGAATCATACTGTTCATTACTGTGCTCAAAAGAGCCCTCAACTGGACCCTGTCCACACTTCATGTTTCTTGGGATCCATTTTGTTGCTGACGTCATGGCTTGGCCTTTGTTTCCCAGGTCGTCTCACCCTCCAGCCCCCTCCGTCTGTCAGTCTGTTTCGTCGAAATCTGGTCACCCCTTCCCTACTTGGTTCTGGCACGGGTCATGTTTCGGTTTCTTCCTCTCAAGGCCACGCTGAACGATTCCTAACCCTGAGCCAGCTCACTGTATCTTCATCTCTGTCCTCACACCGCAGGCATATCTTGTGGGTGAGCGTTCTCTTACATATATTTTCCCCCAAAATGCCCCCTGCGCCCACCCTGGGTATTTTTTCACGTTTTAAATTCGATGGGGGGTCATGAGAAGCGATTTTTACATGAGGCTGGAACGTGTTGATAGTTCCGTGCTCGAGGTAGCGTCTTCGTCACACTGGAAGCCATTATTTCAGAATTTATCTTACGAAACGGAGGTACAGTGATGCTGCGGAATTGCATCTGTCTGCTGCATTTATCTTCATTAGAACGAGGGATGGGTCACCTGACTCTCTCTCGTTCGTTGTAAGCTCGTGTTTGTCGTACGATCGTTTCTGTAAGCCACGTGACGGACTCCATACTGTATTTGTGTCTGCATTTACACAAAATAACGCGTCCAGCGCAAACGTTGACTGTTACAGCACAGATCTTTTATTTATTTTGGCTGTAAAAAAAAAGCGGTTAAGGACGCGGCTGCAGGGCACTCGTCCCATCGCAGACAGACAGACAGACAGACAGACTTGCAGTTCTGCAACTCGTGTTATATTTAGGGACGGCGCCTAACGTTTACAAGTTTCTCAAATGTTAGCGCGTACAGAGTGGAATAGGTCATGTGGTTGAGTCAGCCGCAGTTGTAAACGCGTTGCTAATCATTTTAAGAAGAAATTATTAAGAACTGGTTTTGTTGTTGACGTTAAGTTCGTCGGACCGTAACTTCCATCTCCGATTTGAAACAACTTGTGAACCGTATTTAATACATAATTTAGATGCAGATTTGCGTGTTAGTGCCAGATTTCAAACGCCTAACTGCAATAGTTCATTATTCATCGGCATCAAACCATGCAGCCGCCATATTATTTTACGTTCCACATAAACGTTCCGACGTCACAGCGTCGTGCTGTTGTTACCGATTGTAGGATGTCAAAAGCGACGAGCCGTGTTTCGAGAACGTGTAATTTGGTTCGGTTGTAGGGACGGGGTGGACGCAGACGGCGCGAAGCCTCAGGCCCCTGATGACTGCGTTGGGTAATACGGGAGTATGCACAGGGTTCGAGATCATATGTGGTGACGTAACGAATGCAAATTACCGCTGGGCGAGACTTCTTGAACTCTCATTCGGTATTCCACGTCGTTTGCTGGCCAGTAAATCCATATAAAGTAGTAAAGTTTCTTATTTTGCGACGGCAATAACAAAGCAGGGGTTCGGAATCTTTTGTCTGGTTTTGTGAGGCTGAGAAGCTTGGACCTCTCGGAAGACATTTGGTTCCAGTGGCAGGCTGTTGTGTGCTCGGTAATGGACGTGGTGGTTTCATAAAACACGGAGAGAATTCTGCTCCGTGGGACCGCGAAGAAGGCGGGTCGCGGGCCATGTTGTGAGAGCGAACGAGTTGAGCGAGACGAAGATTTTGGGATATTACTGGCAGTGGAGGGGGAGGGGCTGTGTGGCCGGAGAGAGGTTTAATTCTTTGATTACGCTAGCTCGGGAGGAGGGGCGTTTCGAAGGGTCGATGACCCTTGCAGCAAGATGAGGCGTGTTCAGATATTTGAAATTGAACTGCGAGTACATTAATTGAGCCTGGCATTGTTTTTCCGTGCGACTGCTGGCTGAATGGTTTGGGGGTTTCCTTTCAACAGAATTACCTGGAGTGATTGGAGGAGCGACGTGATTTGTAATATTCGCTCAATATTATCAGGGTGATGACGTCAAGGACGGCGAGATTTTGGGAAATGGATATGCAAACAAAGTTGTCGGAAAACCTTAGGCGAGAGACCACTTCGGATAGCTAAGAAAATTTTAAAATGGATCGCAAATGAACAGAGTTTGGACAGGGCTTATTGGCTGGTTATTCCGTACATGGCCAAACAGTTTCTTGATCAGCTGAGCAACTATCAGTAGGCTCCATTAGTGTATCTGCCATGTTCTATTAACGAATTGTGTGACTGCGCGAGCTTCGAAAGGTCTGCTGGCCAACATCGGTCTCATAATGTATGTAAGGTGCGTTTTAAAACGAGACAGCTTTCCGATCCGAAGAGAGGTCACGTGATCTGGATATGATCTCAGCCAACCAACAGCTGCACCAGTCCACTTTGCACGTAAATTCCCTGGTGCAGATAGTCTCTTGTCTGTGGACTTTGGGAGACGTTTCAGTGATAATGCACGCGTTCTTCCGTATATGGACAGCAAGACAACAGTCACAGTACGTTCAATGCAACTCGCGCGTCTAAGAGAATACCAGTTTCCAGTAAAGACACATTTTGTGTAGTAATTCACCTTTAAAACTAGTTCGACGTGAGACAACATTCGCAGTGGAGTTTCTTTTGTCGAGTTCTGCGTCACTTCATTCAGTTCTTGATGCAGGACTTCATTGGTCGAATTAGAATAACTTCTTCTCGTACTGTCCTGGGCTCTTGACCTCTGACGCTTGCAGAGGCGGGGTGAGGGGAGTCGCCGAGGACAGTGGCCGGTTGTAACCAATATTTGGTTGTGGTCTTCATAAACATGCTCCAGAGACCAGCTGCGCTGGCGGATGTGGGTCACATCTCTTGCCCACTTGATTGGAGGAGGGGGAGGGGGGAGAAGTGTCCTGTTAAATGTCGCAGCCAAAAATCTTGCTTCGTTTTCCATATAATCTTTGCCACTGACAGCGACATCAAGTCAGTCCTAAACTCGCAAATGAGTGTTGTCGATAGAGGCACGTCCCGTTAGATCGACTTGTTAAAGACGCGAACACATTTGTACAGATTTATGTGATTTTATGGAAACGAGCGGTAGAATGTGGTGTCGCAACCTTATCGTTATGAATTGTCTTGCAGATGGTTCTATATGCCCAGTGAATTAGGTTGTTTCAGATTAAGGTTATGCTTATTTATGAGATCATATTTTTGTGAAATTCTTAATTCTTCTTAACCGTTGTTACTCATTTCTGTCGTAAAAATTGTCCCCTCGAGTTTGAATTCAGTCGTGTGGGGTGACAGGCATTTTGAAAGTATTTGACTTTTTTCGGTTTAGCTTGGCTTGGAAAAAGTTCTGTGCCGCTGTAAGCCCTGAGATAATTAATTATCCCTTTCTGGAGATTTCTACAGAAATGAATGAGATTGTATCACAGATATTCAGAGAGTAATTAATTAGTCTTGAGGTTTTGCTTCAGTATGCATGTATGTTTATTGTTGATTTCAGATTTCATGAAGAAAAGAAAGCGTGTGTGCAGTGCTGCCAACTCTCAAGCACTGACAAAGACAGCAGCAACAACAACAACAACAACAACAACAGAATCAAAAAAGGCCAGAATGAGCAACAGCTAGGGATTTTGCTAGCTCGCTCACGTCTTAAATTTATCCAGGAAAGAAAGTGGAGAGAAGAGAAGAGAAGAGAAGAGAAGATTGTTAATTACGGAGAGAGAGAGAGAGTTGTCAATAAGGAAACATGCGACAGCAGAAAGTAAAAGATCTCTTATCTAAAAAAGTGTACAATGTTATATTTTGTTTTTAATTGTAGATATATGTGCAACTTCAAACTTGTTGTACGTAATTTATTTTTATTTTGTTTTCGTTTTTATGTTAGATTATTTTTTCACTCTGATCTCGAACAATTGTACATTGGAACTGTTACACCACAGCGTTCACTAGGAGGGCGATGAGTGAACGCAACAAACAAGTTGTGTTACTGCTTTGTTCTACAGCTCGTGAAATTTCTAAACAGAAGCTTGGTTAAGAGTGTTTTATTTTGTATTTATTACGAAGTGTTCAAAAATGATGTTATTACACAAAATATATCTGCTTGACTTCTAGTATTCTTTGCAAAATTGTTCAGATACACACGTTTCGTATGTAACGCACTTTTAAGAACAGTTTGCAAACCCCCCCCCCCCCCCCCCCCATATATTCCGTAAAGACAGTAGGAAGGTCTTTGCTTTTTGATTTGGTATTGGTATTCTGGTATTTGGGGAGATAACGAAAATTGGAAATATGGTGAGTTTTTTTAGCAATGCAGATTTTGCAGTTTTGTCAATTTATTTTAAAAATGTGATACATTCCAGGCGTTTGCGTGTATTGGAAATTCATGTTAATGGTCAGTCTCTGTGTGTGATGATCGTGCACTTGGCTTCCAAGTTGCTCAATTACCATTTTTCTGAATTTTATAATAACACAAACTGAACACACGAATTTTTTATAGAAATGTTTTTCATTTTTATTTTCACTGCGATCTGCAATGTTTTGAATTTTAAAGGTAGTTTCAGTGAACCTGCTATTTTGAGAGGCACAACCTCGAGGTGTCACAAAATATATGTGAAAGGACAGTACGTTAACTTCTCGCACGCTCGGTATGGCTGCCATGTTTCTAAAGGAAAATATTTTTAATTTAAAGTATTTATTCCTGCAAAAAGAATTTTGAAAGGACTTTACCCTTAATGTACTGTTGATGTGGGTAAGAGCGGTCGTAATCACCGTGTGTTTTATATGAATGTATGGAATGGGCAAAGGGGAATCTTTTCGTATGTAAAATTACGCGAGTAAGGTCAATCATTAACCCAGAGTGATTAAAATAAAATTTGTTATATCGTACGTTTATTAGAATTTTATGTCTATAACCCAAAGAAAATTTGAAGTACAAAAAACGAAACATTATTCAGTTTATCTTATTATTATTATTATTATTGTTAATTACATATATTCAAGGAGTACAGCAGATGTAAAATACCAGCACGTGGATGGATTGCGTGGTTTATGATGGTCTTGAAGCTAGTTCCGTCATTGCTTAAGATTGTTTCGTGGAACACAAATGGGCAGCTTTTAAACGTGTCGCTACGCCATGCTTTGACTCAGATGTGTGTTTGCCTTGGGTTCTGTTGAAATAATTTGTCTGCTCTGACACAAAATGGCAGTGTCAGTTTTATAGTTTACTTAAACTTGAGTAATCGTAGTAGAGTCATGACCACTAAGCAGCACTTCATGGAACATTGGTTTATTTAATGTCATGTCAATCCTTTAACATTAGTGTCGTCAACTTTAGCGAGTTGGAAGAGCCTTCTCCACTCTTTAAGACCAGCTTTGGGTTAGTCCCCTGGAACGAGCCACACCCCACGCCTTCAAGGCGCCTCTGATCTTGGCATTCGGAATCTCACTGCCATTTCTGAAAAATGGTAAACAGCCTCTTCACCTGAAATAGCATTGTTTCAGTGTTGGTTCATAAAATGATACTGCATCAGCTGCAGAGGTTATGCTGATGATTTAAAAAGTGAAGTTGTGTGGAATGTCGAAGGGGCCATGTGTTCCGCTGTCGTTCAGGACGGCGGGCGGAGGCGGAACTCGTGGCTTCCACCCCCAGTACAAATCGTGTGTGCTTGTTGCGAAACACTGTCCTGCACATAATACTTGGTGGAACAAAGTATATTACCAGATCTGTGTCAGGTATCGTCAAAAGTGAATGCCAGGTATGTGAGTCATTCTAGCCATTCGCTTCTACAGCCTTTCTCAAATGATATTTGGTTGGTGGTGGGGGGGCATTGTAATGCATGCTGCAGGTTCATTTTTTGTATCACTGAAAATTCTGATGCAGTTAGGCATATTCTTGAAGTCGGGGGGTTTAGCATGTCAGACATGATACTGCGATAGACAAAACGCACTGAGACTGTCAAACACGGTTTAAAATGTGAGAAATATTTTCATTACGGACGCTTCTGCTAAGAGTTTTATTTATGTAACACCGTTCATTCTCTCTTACGCCACTTTGTAAATCGTTTACCTCACAGATTGAAATTACCTGTTACAGATTAATTTTTCTCCGTCTTATATCTTGAGATAAAATTTCATGCTCATGTACAAAATAATACCAAAATTGTCACGCGCTCGTGTCTGAATCCTTATTAATTTTGTTTGGTGTGTAATGTCCAAACTGAATAATTAGTCACAATCGATCTCTCTCAGCAGTGTAAGGTGAACAGACGTGCCTTATATTTATTTTTATCCATAGTTGTGTTGTGTCGCACGCACGCACGCACTGCGACCCATCACAAGGACCGAGGGACATTTTCATTCAGGTGGCAATTAACTATAGTTTTAATGTTGATTTTATTGTAATTATTATTTTACGCCACACTGACGTCCATTGCATGACTTGCGGTTTCATTCTAAGATGCGACTGTGAGAGAAATCAATATTTTGTGCACATGGTACGAGTTACCACGTGTTGTCCAGAACATCGAGCGGTTGAATGTGAACCGCATGTCACGTGTCTACTCTAAAATTGGCCCGCACTGCGATGCATCGAAAGGAAAGAAAGTCCATCGCTATACATCACTGTCATAGGAGACGATTCAATTATTCATCGTTTGTTACGTTAATAAAATGAGAGTGCGGTGTCTGGGGTTCAGTCCTCGCAAATGTATTTGCTCTTGGCTAATTAAGAGTGGACATTTTGTGTATGTGTTCTGTTGTAACATTCTGAACCACTTGTAACTAACTGTAAGATTGGAGTGACGTTTTAAGTCTTTTGAATTAATGTTCAGGTTTTGATTTCAATGCTCCTGAATGTGTCTGTTTTACTTTCTTCATATAAATTATATGAAATTGATGGAATTGTACTTACAAGTTTTATGGAATTCTTTATAAGAAATTAAAAACTTTCTGGTGGAACGTGATCGTAATTATGTGGCCCCATTGCCATTGGATGTGGAGGCAGTTGGTCCTTTATTCAGGCCAAGGAAGGCGTCTCACCGCAAGGAGATTGAATATGTGACCAGAGGACCTAACAGACGTGCAGTGAATGAAACATTCTATACAGGAAATGCAGATGTAAGTTGTGACAGAAGGATGACAATGGAATTGCACAGAGATCTCTTAACTCTGCTCCAGTACTCATTTTTCATATAATAAAATTCTGTTAATATTATATTTTATGTTTTAAAGCAAACTTGGACAACCCACATTAAAATAGTCGTATCATATTTTTCTTTTCTTTATTTTTAACACCTGTGATGTATTAAATATGATCTCAAAATAATTCTTACTTTGTATGTCATAGAGAAAATGGAAAAAAGCTTAAAATTATTTGTTTGTAGCTATAAAAAGAAAGTAATATTGAAGTAAGCAAAGTATATATTCGAGAGGCAAAACAAATACAGATAGCTTCTTTTGTTGGAATGGAGTTTGTGTTCATTTTTTCATGGTCAACTGCCCCCTTAAAACCGATCCTCAAGTGTCTGTTAATTTCATATTCTACATTCACAGCGACGTCTCCTTTCACCTAATTACCTGTTCACGTAGGACCTCGATGTTCTATTTTTTAAACCAAAACATTTGCTAAATTCTGAGGGAGGGACAGTTGTAGAGAACAGGTGTACTTGGGGTGGGTTTTTCTTCTACATTAACCTACCCCTTCTAATTATGCCACCCACCGGTGCTTTTCGTATTCGTGGCACAGCTGACCACACTGCTACCAACTTCAGTCACAGTTGTGGCTTTACCTTTGATTCAGCACTGGATTGGAAATTGCATTACGTAAGTTCTGTGTGCAAAACAATTTTTCAAACTTCTTTTGTTGCAAATTCTTGTATTTAAAATCGTGTGTTTAGGGCCCATTTTTAGAATTGTGTTGTGATATGGACCTTGCACCATTTTTAAATTTATATTATGTTATGTGGAGGGCTTTGGTTAATTCGGTGATGAACCCTTCGGGTTCCGTAAACCTTCTAGTTCTTATGTTACTTAATGGGACGTGTGGTGCTAAATAAATTCCTATAAACTAGTCTGATTCATTGCCAGAAATCCATATTTCCTTTTCATTAGTGTTCCTATTAGAGAAAGACACTTCCTGGTAATGTCAGATCTTGTCTGTACACAGCAGTGATTGTATGACAACTCTGGAGTGATCCTAATAATGCTTCATTATTATTTATTATTATTATTTAGTGTTCTGTCTGACGACAGGTCCATATGAACAGGATCCTTCCATCCTTTTCTCTTCTCGGACTGGGACCTGTTCATATACGTTCTTGGCAAATGATCCAGAAGTGGTTTGCCATTGCCTTCTTCTGTGTGTGAATGGAGTAATTGTTGGGATGCCACGGAGGAAAACTCCGTGTTGCCTAGACCACGGCCTTGCCCAACCGCCGGGAATCGAACCCGAGACCCCAGGATTACAAGGCCAGCGTTCTAACCGCTAGATCACCGTGTTGAATAATGTTTAAAGAATATTGTATTAAAATTACGATTTATTTGAAATTGGGTAACGACCTTTCGTACAGATGTGTTTAAAACAGTTGCTAGGACATGGTCAACAAACTTGTAAACCATTTGAACTGAATGGAAGAGATTGAACATTTCAATCTTATATGGAATGTTTATACCAAATTTCTTGATTATATTCTGAATCTGTTTTTCAAGACGTCTGTGCTCATACGAAAGAGGAGGTGGGTATAAAGCACGAGACATTGCTACATACTACAGGACATGGAACATGGAATGTAAGGAAATGTTGGTAAGGTGCGGGAAACTTATTAAGTGGCAGCACTGCTGATCGATTCCGAAGGAATATCGAATGCAATGCTAGACCGGAAGTGGGTGTTGCAATTCAAACAGTTGCGAATCGTGTTCATAGTCGTCG